GGGGAAAAGGGCACTCTTGTTCATTGCTGGTGGGACTGCAAATTGGTGCAGCCAATTTGGAAAGCAGTATGGACATTCCTGGTCTTTTGAGGGCTCTCCATACTCCTTTCCAAAGTGGTTGTACTAATGTATGAGTGTACCTTTGGCCTCACATCCTCATCAGCAATTATTATGATTTGTATTCGGATGGTTGCTCTTTTAACTGAAGTGAGATAAATCTAGATGCCATTTAGATTTATGTTTCCTGATTGCTAAGGATGGTGAACATTTTTTCTTGTATTTGTTAGACATTTGTATTTCTTCTCTTGAGAAATATCTGTTTAGATAATTTACTCACTTCTTGATTGGGTTATTTGGTTTGGTTTGGTTTTGCTTTATGGTGTTAAGTATTTTGAGTTCTTTGTGTATTCTGGATGTCAATCCCCTTTTGGAACAGTTGTTGGCAAAGATTTTCTCCTATTCTGTATGCTCTCTCTTCAGTCATTTCCTTTGTTATGCAAAAGGAGTCAATTATGTAAAGTCACCCCACTTACTGCTTCTTTGTTTACTTCTTGTGTTTCAGAGCTTTGTTAAGAAAGTTGGTGCCTGCACCAATTAGATTGTTGACTCTATGTTAAATCAATATTCTTTAGATTTTGTTCCATATGTCGTTAGTGGTAAGCTGATTTTTATTAACAAAAGTTGTATACTTCTTCACAAATACATAACATATATATTTTTTTTGTAATTTTTTTTTATTGGTTGTATTTGGCAATTAAAAAAATTGCATATCTCTTTATGTTCAAAAGAATTGATTTATTACAGTATGGGCTGTTTGGTGTTTATACACATTGAAGGCTTTTGTTTGTTTGTTTTGCAGTGCTGGGGATCAAAGCTTATGCATGTTGGGCAGGCAGGTGCTGTACCACTGAACCGCACCCCAGTCCTGTACTGGTTGTTTTAGAACAGAATTTAATTTTTTAATGCAACTCCTTGAATGATCAACCTGTGTCTATTGTAGTGAAGCAAAACTTCCCGTTTAGAATTTCTTTACAGCTGGGCCTGAGAATTAAATTGACACATGACAGACTGATGGGAGAAAAGCATACACATTCATTTAATGCAAATTTTACAAGGCATGGGTGCCTTCATAAAGAAGTGAAGACCCAAAGAAGCAGTTACAGTCAGTTTTTTATAAATAGAATTGGACAAAGAACAGTACATTCTGAGAACAACTAAATGATGTTGGGAGATTTAAAAGATTAATTATTTTGAACAAAATTCTCTCAGTTTCATTTCTTGTTTTTGATGATAAGAATGTCACTTTGGCTTTTAGTATAGGGAGAGTGTCTTTCACATGGAATTTCATCTGCATTTCAGAAACAGAAAATAGGTCAGAAGGAACTTCTTGCACCTGCTGTTTTTCATGTCCTTAATGCAAAGCAGTCAATATGCCAGAGTGATATATTTTAACTCCTTCACTATCAAAAGACATGGTGAAATAAAGAGAATAATAAATCTTAGTTTTAAGAAACCTTAGAATTACTTTTACCAATATCTTTAAAGTTTAAATAAAAAACTACAAAACCAAAACAACAAAATGGAGCACAGAGACATTGTATCCAAGATTACATAATAATTCATAAAAGATTGAATTCTATAGGTCTGAAAGCTAAGATATGTAAATGATTCATTTCTGTGGATTAAAACTGTGTAAGTTTCATATGAACCCATTTTGGAGTCTCTGCACAATTTCAAGGATTCTCCCTAAATTTCCTCCCCGCCCTCTACAAAGCGGATTAATTTGCACTCATTGCCCACTCACTGTTGGACTGGAATGAATGCCTAACCAAGGCTAAGCCAATCAGAGTCCTCCCCTTGTTTACAAGGGGCAGAGCAGGTGCGGATGCACAAATTCCCAAGTCTAAGACTCCCCTTTTGCTGAACAGGTCAAGGTAAAAAGCTGAGTGTTGTCAGTAGATGGGCTACACTCAGCAAGGCAACAAACCCTAGTTCATTGCAGCACAAAGGATCAGGGAAAAGTGTGGGCTTACTCCAACTGGCTGGGTTGGGCTACCTTCCCTGGCCTCCGTGGGGAGGGGTGCACGCGGGCTCTGTTGCCACCTCTTCCTCAGTCCCTGTAGCTGTTGGTTCTCTTGTCCCCAGCTCCGCTTCCCAGCCTCCTCTACCTGAGGAGGGGA